AATGACAATAGAGCAGTAGAATATATACATTAGACTTTTTCCATATTTTCATGCTTATAATTTATCTCACCTAGAATATAAACTCCATGCAGGCAGATATTTAAGTTCATTTTTTTTTTTTTCATGCTGTACCCCTACCACTAGACCAGTGCTTGGTTTTTTTTTGTTGTTGTTCTTATTTGCTATCCAGTGGGCTCTTATTCATGGCAACCATATGTGTACCAAATGAAAAGTTTTGCAGTCCTGAACTTGGTAGATAATCGGGGCTCCATAAATAGTTCTTAAATAAAGGAAAGAAAAGAAATACCATAGCGTAAAAAATTGCCTACTTTTAACATTTTGTTACCAAAAATTGTTTATTTTGAAAATTTTTAAGCAACTGTTTGAGAAGTACCATATTTGTTAGAGCATTTTTTGATAGCCAACTAGTGAAACACTAACTTTGAGAAGTTCCTTTTCTAGCTCTTAGTTTTTTGTGATCAGAATTTTACTTCTTTCTATGTTAAATCAAAAATGAGAAGAAAATTACATATTATTTTATTCTGCTACCAAATTTGTCAGACTTTCTAAAATTACAGGCTTTTTTGTTTTCGTTAACCTTTAATTGAAAATGTTTATATATTCATTACTTGTTTAATGACTTCAAATTATTTGTTCTAATTTTTTTATATAAAGTATATTCTTTAGGATTAGTTCTTATTGCTGATAGCTTATCCCTGAAATATTTTATCACGTCTTTAACCTAGTAGATGCGTCAAAACATCTCTACTGTTTGGTTGACTGATAGGCATAATGACATGTTAACCATTTGGAATGTGAAGAGCCATGCTTTCATTTTCTTCACCAGCTTATGGGGAAAATAGTAGACTTCAGTGTCAGAAAGTTTAATGCCAACTTGCAGTTCTATAGTACATACTTTCTATAAAACTTTCATTAGACTATTTTGTCTGTTAAAAGACCTGACAGTCATCATTTCAAATTGCCATAGATTGTTTTAGGTACATTTATTCTTTAATTTTACCTCACCCACAGAGGTTGCTGAGAATAATATTGAAAGGGGGAGGAAGGAAAATGTTTTTGCTTTTTTAACTCTGCTATGTGAAATAATTTTACTTTCTCAAATTCACCAAACGTACCATATCTTCATGCATATAACATGCACAGTATGCATTTTTGTATACCACGCACCCCCCCCCGTTTTCATAAGCGCGATATATCAGTATAGTTTTACATGTTGCTGACTACAAGTTCAGGTATTTTTCAGTCCAATGTATTTAATGTTAAGTCTTCCTCGTGGTGCCTTTTGATGCAGAGGTTTGGTTTCCAGCAGCAGACCTTCACCAGTCTACCCTAGAGTTTCTAAAGCAACCTCTCTCCTGGCAGGATTCCTTCCCTGCTCTACAAACCATTTTCTCTGATGCAGGAGGAAATCACATTTTCTGCCTCGCAGACAACACTTACTGCAGCATCCAGCTCCAGTCCAGAAGATATGTGGGTCTGCACACCCTGGCCTGGAGAAGCCACTCAGGCCAGGCAGGGCTATCATGCTTTAGCCGGGTGCATTCTGCCCTGCTGTTCGGTTGCCTGGCTGCTGCTTTTAGGCCATTTGAATGTCCCCTCCATGCAGACAACACTGTTTGGGCATGAGAGTTGTGGTGCCAGAGGGGGCTCATGTCCCACACTTGGATGAAATGGGTCCAACTGGCCACTTCAGGGCCCCAGGGACCAGGGCAGCGTGCATGTGTACCCACAACCATCCTCCCACTCAGCTTCACATGGGGCTGGCCCTGCAGGACGTGAGCATGAACAGGCAACACCCTCCTCCCCCAGCCAACATCTTGGGGATCAGCCTGTGCTAGGGCTGTGGCAACCTGGCATGCAGCCCTCTACCTGATCCTTCACCAGTGTCCAACGTATCTGGGCACAGATTAGCTACAGAAACTCATCTACTGTCTGGACCAACTGTGAACTGTCCCAAAGCAAATGCACAATTTCACATGTTTATTTTCTGATGACTGAGGTACTAACAAACTTGATCCATGGCTTCTTGGCCCTGATTTACACCTTAGTTATACAAATGTGAGCAAAAGTACCATTTTTATATGAGTAAATGAGACTGAAATCCACTTCTGGAAGTATGTATGTGGTTTATGCATGTGTGTGCTATGCCAGAATTTTTTTATATAATTTCATCATTTCTGCCCATTATATATGTGTGCATTATTTACATGGTTGCACTATATGCAAAAAATATGGTACGTAAAAGATATGAGTCAAACCAGTGTTACTGTGGTGTTCTTAAACAATGTAGGGAAATTAACTTTTAAACCCATTAATATACAGCAAAATTTCTCCCAGTAGCAAGGTATCATTTAGATTTCTTAATGCGTTGTGGGAAATACTGGTTAAAGCCACATTGTTTGGTGTCTCTACTAATATACTTGTTTTCATTGCCGTAGTAAGATTTTTTTCATCACAGCTCTACCAGAAGTTGGTGAAATGAGTTGTGTGTGTGTGTGTGT